AACAATTACTTTAAATATGAAGGACTAAATTCGCCTATTAAAAGACAGAGTACTGAATGTATTAAATTTTTTCTAAAAAGACCCAACTATATGCTGCCCACAAGAGACTTACTTCAGCTACTTTCTTATAGGTTATCCATCTTGTTGGGGTATAATTTTCATAGTGTTCTCTTATGATCCTTCATATCTCTGTGGTATCAGTGGTAATGTCCCCTCTTTCATTTCTGATTTTATTTGAGTCTTCTCTCTTCTATATATGTCTATTAAGCCCATTTGGTCTCAAGTGTAGCTCAAGCCCAATATATCCCTAACGATTTTCTGTTTGGATGATATATCCACGTTGAAAGTGAAGTCTTGCAGATCCCTACTATTATTGTGTTGCTGTATATTTCTGCTTTCAGATCTGTTACTACTCGCTTCATGCCCTTAGGCGCTCTAATGCTGGGTATGTATGTATGCACAATTGTTACATTCTCTTGATTAATCAATTGTTTATCATTATATAATGATCTTTTTGTCTCATTACTTTTTTTTTTTTTTTACTTTTGGATAAGTAAGGATAGCTACTCCTGCTCTTGTGGTTACCATCTGCATGGAATATCTTTTCCCATCCCTTCACGTTCAGCCTACATGTGTCCTTAAAGCTGAAGTAAGTCTCTTGTGGGCAGCATATAGTTGGGTCTTTTAAAAAAAATTTAATACATTCAGTACTCTGTCTTTTAATAGGTGAATTTAGTCCTTCATATTTAAAGTAATTGTTAATAGGTAAGGACTTAGTATTATCATTTTCTTTTCTGGCTGTTTTATAGCTTCTTTGTTCCTTTCTCCTTCTGTGTTTTGATGATTCTCCAGTGTGGTATGCTTTGACTCTTTTCTTTTAATCTTTTGTGCATTGTGCTTTGTGGTTACCATGAAGCTTACAGAAAACATCTATAGTCATGACAATCTATTTTAAGTTGAAACAACTTCACTCCAATCACATATAAAAATTCTACCTTTTTACTACTCCCCACTACATTTTATATTTTTCATGTCACAATCTACATCTTTTAATGTTTTGTATCCATTAACAAATTATTGTAGCAAGTTATTCTTAGTAATTTTGTCTTTTAGACTTTATACCAGGTGAAGTGATTTATACACCATTACAGTATAAGAGTATTCTGATGTAACTATATACTTACCTTTACCAGTCAGTTTTATACTTTCGTATATTTTCCTGTTATTAATTAATGTCCTTTCACTTCACCTTGAAGAACTCTCTTTAGCATTTCTTCGAGGGCAGGTCTAGTGTCGATCAACTCCCTCAGCTTTTGTTTGTCCGGGACTGTCTTTCTCTCTCCTTTGTTTCTGAAGGACAGCTTTGCTGGATAAAATATTCTTGTTTGGCAGTTTTTCCATTCAGCACTTTGAATATATCATCCAATCCCTTCCTGGCCTGCAAGGTTTCTGCTGATAAATCCATTGAGAGCCTTATGGAGATTCCCTTGTATCAGATCATTTTGGTTCTCCTGCTGCTTTCAAAATTCTCTCTTTTATAATAATAATAATTTGTATAATAGAACTTTGGCACTTTTATTATCATATGCCTTGGTGAAGTCTTCACTGGGTTGAATCTCTATGAGACCTATGAGCTTTGTGTACTTGGATGACCATACCTCTTCTCCAGATTTGGGGGGTTTTCAACCATTATTTTTTTTAATCAGTTTTCTTGCCCCTTCCTCTCCCTTTGCCTCTGGGACTCCCATAAAGCAAATATTGTTTTGCTTGCTAGTATCCCATAATTCACAGAGGCTTTCTATTCTCTTTTTCATTTTTTCTCCTCTGGAAAATTTCAAATGATCTTTTAGTTTACAAATTCTTTTTTCTGCTTGATCAAGCCTCCTATTGATGCTCTCCACTATACTTTTCACTTCATTCACTGTATTTATTCTTCGGCTCCAGGATCTCTATTTGATTGTTTTTTTAAATGATTTTTATCACTATTGAACTTCTCATTTTGTTCACACATTTTTCCTGATTTCATTGTGTATCTGTGTTCCTTGTAGCTTGCTGAGCTTCCTTAAAACAATTATTTTGAATTATTTGTCTGGCAATTCATATACCTCCATTTCTTTGGAGTAGGTTATGGGAAAATTGTTGTGTTTCTTTGGTGGTGTCATGTTTCCTTGATTTTTTGTGTTTTTTGTAGCCTTGTGTTGATGTCTGTGCATTTGATGAAGTAGTCATCTCTTCCAGACTTTACAGTCCAGTTTCGGTGGGGACAGACCTTCACCTGTGGGTGGGGTGAGAATGCCAGCGAGGTAGGATGTGGCTGGCAGCTATCGTGCTAGGGAAAGCCCAGTGTCATTGTCTCCATGCAGCTCCAACAGCTGAGGTTAGCCTCAGCAAAGACTGTAGGATTCCTCAACAGTCAAGGCTGCTGGTCTCTAGTTTCAAGGTCTGTTGGGGTCCTCAGTGGCAAAGGCTGCTGGGGACCTTCTGATCACTTTTTCTCCCACAGGGGATGTCGTGGCCATGGGGATCTCTTTTGGCACTGGGTCTGGGTTGCAAGCACCCTAGCGGTGGTGGCACGGATTTCTGGTGCACGGGCGCCCATGGAGCAGTCATGGAGCTGAAGACTACATCGGAGTGCTTGTGCAGCAACAGCAGTTCTGGGGTCCTGGGCACTGGCTAACTGACAGAAGCCATACTGTGTGTGAGACGGGTGTGTGTCCAGTGGCCAGGAAGCCGGGATCTAGATCTAACTGCTTTAAATTCCATGGCAGGAACTATTCTCAGCCCTGTGTAACTCTGAAGACTGGTCCCCGGTCTCTGGTTAGGTGGCCCCCTCTCCAGCTTGTGTAGTTCCCTTCCACACGTGCACGAATCAGAACTCAGCTGAAGACTCCAAGGAGGAGCCTCTGGAGCTCTCCAGAACTCTCATTTTGTGCAGTTCATTCCTCTCTGGTGCTCTGTCCTGTGAGCTGGAGCTGCTCCGTCCTCCTGACTGCCACCTCCTCCTCAATCCAGGTAGACTGTCTTAGGTTTCACCTGTGTTCCCCTCCCTCGCTGAGTCTGCAAAGTCTCCAGGCAGTAAGCTAGGTGATGATGAGACTCACCCCCATTTGTTCCCCACCTCTCAAGCTTTGCTTTCCTTCATTATCTGTTGTTCAGTGTCTTGAAAAATACTGTCTCATATATTGTTTGTTTTTTTTAGTTGTTTCAGGCATGAGGGCCTTTTACCCCAACTTGGCCAGAAAAAGTTCATTTCTTTCACTATGTCAATTTCATATTCTTTCCCCCTTTTAAGAAAAGGTCCACTTATTCCTCAACAATCATACAGAATGACAAGTTTGTTTTTGTTTACCATTCCTCTTAAGAGGATAGTAAAATGTCAGGCACTGCAGTTCAGTGTTGGAAATCTAACTCTGCCTCACAGTCACTTCTAGTTTCCTTGATTATGACTCTTCCCTCTTGGTCAATGTTGCTCCAAACGGATCCTCTGGAGTGACTCAGCTCTTGGACTTCTCAGCTAGGAGGCTCGTCAATGCAGGGAGACCCTCTGAAGAAAGAACTGACAAACCCTGAAAATCTGAACATGCCCTTTTAGGGAGACTGTAATGATGTTAACATCCATTCCTCTGTTCAACAAAATCTGCCGAGCACCTCTGAAGTGCCAGGTATTACGCTGGGAAATGGGGCTACAACAGCAAATGGATCAGGCAGGTCTCTGTCCTCCAAGAGGTTGTGTTCTCATAGCAAAAATGGACAATCACCAAGTAACACATAAACATCATCATTAGGCATAAAGTTCAAGATGTAATAATGTAACTAACAACTTACCAGGAAAATATAACAATTCCAATAACCATAAAAAATGACAAATGTACACTGTAAAAATGAGATATTCATATTTGCAGGGAGAGATTTAACACATTTCTCATAGAAATCAAGAAAGTCAATGGATAAAAATGAGTGCGGATGTAAAAATCTAAACCAGTTAACACTGAGAGCTCTTTAATGGATACCTATAGAATCCTTTACTTAAAAAATGAAGACATCCTTTTCAAGTACGCACAGAATATTTACAAAATCTAAGAACAACAAATACTGAGTATATTGCAAAGGGCCAGCGAGGAGAGGGTGCTGTGATCTCAGAGGTGCAATTCACTGGGCACTCTGCATTTGAGTTACACATTTAACTTTAAAAAAAAGAACTGGCGCTAGATGTTTCCATGGATACCACAGACCATGGCAGCACCAGGAGGACAACACACTCCCAGGGGGAGTGTCCCTCTCACAGGAGGTTGCTCTCTGCGGGTGGTCTGAGCAGAGTGAGACCCCAGTGCTAAGGCTGGGCCACTCTGTGTGGAAACAGAAGATGGGAATGGAGCCATAAAAGAACTCTGAAGTCCTTCAAAAATAGCTACCTCCGCTGTTTCCACCCCCTGTGCTCTCTGGCCGCGGAGTTCCCCGGCCTCAGCTACGCCCACCGCTGCACGCCCGGCCCAGCTCTCCCATCTGGCAGTCCTATCCAAGTACTACCAGACCGTCAAGGTCCAAGTGAAGTTTTATTTCCTTTTTTAGAACAATTTCCAGATCAACAGAACCACAAATATGACTGATTTCCCTTCTGGTAAACTGTATGTCTTATTACCTGCACCATGGAAAGGGCACTATGCTAGAGCTTTATTTAGAGGGAAACTTCGGAGAAGCAGCTGATATCTAAGAATCACAGGTACTCTGGGACTAAACACAGCAGGTGTCCAGTGGAAAAGGCAGGAAGTGACTCTGGTGGCCACACAGACTGTGGCTGCAACGCAGCGAGAGTGCGTGATGCACGTGTCACATCATCTCAACTGGGTGAAATGCACATGTGGAAAACTGGCGGCACTTTGCCAACCACATTGCTAGGCCCTCCTGTGGGAGGGTTTTGGAATTTCTTTCCCTCCCTTTTGCCTTTTATGTCCAGGTGACAACGAGCAGGTGCCATACATCCACAGTCACCCATCACTTACTGTGCTGTCAATATTCTTCAAGTCTGAGAGGCAGCCAGAGGAGATCTCCTCACATTTCAAGGTCAAAGAGAGACGAGCCAATTCAAAAAGCAAAAGAATTCTGGAAATGAAGAAACAGAAGAGCAATGGATCAGAGGAGGCATCAAGGAACATTTACCTGCATGTACCTGTAGGGGAGAAAAAGCAGTCATCGGTTAACCAGAGGCAGGAAACAAAAATAAAACAAACATCCTAGGTCCCCAAGCCCAGCCCCCGCCAGGCCCTGACACAGAATTTGGCGGAAATGAAGAGCTCCGCCCGCTGGGCGAACTGCTCCTCGTTCTCTGCCCTTAGGTGGGTACAAATGCAAGGAAGGAGGCAGGCAAACGCCCCGCACAGCCTCTCGGCGCCTTGGGTGTCACCGTCTGAATCATCAGAGCAGTGGGGGCAACACGGGCAACAGCCACGAATTTCCTGACTCAAAGCTTCTTCCCCCGACCACGGGACAAGCATCCAATGATATCACTAGTCCAGGGCTTCTTAGAAAGTAGCTGATGCTAACACCTATGTGGGAGTGCAAAGGACCCATGAGGGCCAAAGTGACTTTGAAAACAAGGCTGGAGGACTAGACTACCTGATCTTAAGACTTAACGTAAACCCGTAGGAGTCCAGGCCTGATCTAGGACTGGCCCGGGTCCTCCGCCTTGACCGTGACATCCTGGACCAGGCAGTTCTTTGTTGGGCACGGGAGACGCATCCTGCACACCCCAGTACCTTTAGCAGCGCCCCGCTGCCAGTCACGAGGTGCCAGTAGCAGCCCCCACAGCGGCCACTGGTAGTCTCCAGACATGCCAAATGTCCCCTGGGACAAGCCGGTGCCCTTTCTGCCCTTTTCGAGCTAACCATCACCGTCTTACCCAGGACCCCAAATGGCTAGTCTGCTGTAACAACCGAACTCGGTGTCGCCACCCTCCCCAACCTGCACTCCCACCATCCCGGCCCCCCTCCCCCTCCCCCTGCTCAGCCCCTGGAGCTCCAAGGACCCTGGCAGGCCTGGCTTGACATCCTGCCCCTCAGTGCTCCCTGAGCTCCAGCCACACGGACCCACTGCGCAGGTAAGGAGGGAGAACCCGAAAAGATATAAATCACTGGGTTTTAGTCCTTTTTTCAGGTTTAAACTAACAGAACATTTTTTCCCACCCAGAATTCTAGGCACAGAAGCCTGGGTGGAGGGGTGTCAGCAGGGTCCCTCACTCAGAGTTGGGAGCCTGAGGCTTTTAGACAGGAAGGACCTGAAAGCAAACACAGAAGGCAGCTCGGGACAAGTGGTCCGGCCAGCACAGGACACGCCCTCTCCTCCAGGCCCGAGCAGCACCAAGCAAACGCAGAGCGCACATGAAGCCGAGGAAACCTAACTGTCCACATCAGGAGCTGCCGGGCTCATCCTCTCTGGCCACACACAGGAAAAGCAGAAGTTCTTACAAAAGTAAAGCCACAGAGACACCGCAGGGGACAGAACCATTTTCAAACCTGGAGGTGGGAGGGCCTTGCTGGGCACATAGGTAGAGGCGGGGAACACAAGGCCAAGCCTGGCTCATGGTGGGGGTTGGGGGCCCACAAGTGGGGGTCAGGGTATGCAGCCAGCTCTGAGCTGGGGCCACACGGCCTGGACTTCTGGGGGACCTGGGTCAGCCCTGACTCACAGGGCTGTTGGGCAAGGAATCCGCGACAGGCCCAGGACTGGCGGGAATAAATATGAGTTCGAATTATTCTTATATTAAATAAAACAATTCTGTACATCAAAAATTAATTTTAAAAACCTAAAAGGTAAACAAACTGGGACAATTGATAAATATACTGGCGCTGGAGGGCTCAAATTTTAAAATAGAAAAATCTTCTGCAAGTCAATAATGAAATGGTTTATACCCTACTTATAAAAAATGGGCAAAATAAGTGTATAGGAAACTAATAAAGGGAAAAAATGCCAGGAAATGTAGGACAAAACACCAGCAGTCAGAGGACGGGGTGAGAGCAATGGCATGCCCCTCTCCTCCGACTTGCTCCGAGAGGGTCAGAGAGGTCAGAGGCAAGGGTCTTCACATGCGTGCTCCGTGTGGCTTTTGCAGCATGCATCAGTGCCCCAGAGTCCCATTTCTAGAAACTTCCCCTGGAGCTGCTCATATCAGTAGTGAGGCCCCCAAGGGAGGGCCCAGCTGTAATAAGGGACGCTGGAGGGGACACTGCACATTTGTGCATACACATGCCTATGTGTGTGCATGGGTTCTCCTAACCCGAAGTGCTCTGACTGACCTCCTAGAGGGCCTGAAAACCCATGTTAAGAACTTAGTTGCAGAATATTTTGTGATGCAGAAACATGTTCACAATTCATATGGAAGAAGTAGATTAAAAACCTATGTGATAATAATGTTGAAAATATACACTGATCCATTTTCAAACTTCCTATAATTACTGCATATTAAATTTGAAATAAGAAGAAAATGATGAAAATCATTTAAAGATTTATTTATTTATTTTAGAGAGAGCGAGTATGGGAGTGAGAGACAGGTAGAGGCAGAGGGAGAGAGAATCACAGACTCTGCACTGAGCGCGGAGCCTGATGTGGGGCTCAATCTCACGACCCTGAGATCATGACCTGAGCTGAAACCAAGAGTCAGATGCTTAACCAACTGCACCACCAGGCATCCCAATGATGAAAATCATTTTAAAAATATGTATATACACCACCCCTGGTGCATTAAATCTGTACAAATTCAAGAGCCGTGGATGAGTTCCTACAGGAAGTGACAACATGAACACGAGCCATCTTGTGGTCCCTTTCATCCAATCTACCGCAGACGGCCTCAAGATGCCCGGTGACCCTGCTCCCTGGTGTTCATGGCCTGTGTGATCCCTTCCCTTTGAGTAACCACTGTTAACCAACAGGAGACCTCAACCTTGGGCCTGATCAGATCCCAAACAATTCTGACTTCCCTTGCACTGGTCAATTATCCCTTGCTGGCTCTGATAAAGCACCTGCTCATCGAGCTTCAGAAGAGACCATGGCCCTGCCAACACCTGGATGGCAGCTGTGCCTGGATTCCCTTCCCACGGACACTGTGAGAGAATCAGTATGCATTGTCGTAAGCTGCAAGCTCTGTGGTAATTTGTGACGGAGCAATGGATAATACACCCCCTATATGAGTTTTCTAAGGCGGCTGTGATGGATTACCAACAACTAATTGGCTTAAACAACAGAAATTCCATCTCTTACAGTTCCAGAGGCCAGGAGACTGAAATCAAGGTATTGCAGGACCACGCTCCCTCTGAGGGCTCTAGGGCAAGATCCTTCCTTGCTCTGCTGGCTTCTGGTGTTCGCCAGCAATCCTTGGTGCCCCTTGGCTTGCAGCTACAACACTCTAATCTCTGCCTCTATCGTCACCTGGCCTTCTTCACCATAAGCATCTGCATCCCAAATTTCCCTCCTCTTATAAGGACAAAAGTCACTCATTAGTGCCCATCCTAATCCAGTATGACCCCATCTTAACTTGATGACATCTGCAAAAACCCTATTTCCAAATACGATCATGTTCACAGGCAGCAAGGGTCGGGACTTGAATAGATCTTTTTGGGGAACACAGTTCCACCCATAACACCCCAAAATCAATGAATGAGTGACAGACTGAAAAAATACATAAATAATATTATAGACAATGGCCAAAATGTTTCATGTGTTAGGAGTGCCAAGAAGTTGATGAGAAAATCATTGAGAACTCAAAAGATAAATTCTCAAAAGTGGTAGTTCAGAGGCCTCCACATATGGCTGAGCATTACACCTCACGGGTAATTGGAGGCGCACAGATGGAAACCAAAGCAGTAAGATCATTTCAGCCACCAGGTTAACAGGGTGGTGGTGGTGTCCATTCTTTTAAGTCAGCACACATGAGAATGTGACAAAACAGCTGCTGGATTGGGAAGCACACCCATCATTTCTGTGGGAATAAACTAGAGGGTACATTCTAGTTCATTCTGTCAGCCTCTGGCTCAGCTATCCATTCCTAGGAATCCAATCCAGGATGCCTCCTAAATGCAAACGGCACCCAGAGGATGGAGGAAGGCACACAGGATTGAAAAACTGGAGTGCTGGGGGTGGGGGACTATAGCTGCTGAGGTGTTAGGCTGTTACTCAGAAAGCCGTGAGATGTTTCAGTAACTTGAAAAGTACCTATGCTGAGAAGCTAAATTTGATTTAAAAAGTACGATATGAAGCTACGTATCCCAAATGCTCCTCAAACAGTACAAACCTCAAGACCAGAAAATAGAGTGGAATCTCCACAATGGCTGATGCTTGATGTGGTACAATGATTATGTAGATGTGAAAGTGGAAAAAACACGAACACTTACTTTTCCTCTCTGATTGAAGGGAAGTGCTGGTTATTATAATAACTTAAATGTTTATAGGCCTTCTTCAGAATTGAGTTCACATCTTCAGGTAACTCATTTTTATCCAATTTTCTAGAATTTATTCAAACAATAAATAACCAAAATATCATGTCAGATTTGTTCAAATTACCCTAAGACAAACTCCAAGTCTATGAACCTGTGTTTCCCACTGAACAGAAGGCCTAAAAAAATCCCTCTTCCTTCGTTCCTTCACTCTCCAAGATGACTTCTCACACCTCCTTACTCTCCTCACTCCCAGAGCAGGCTCCTTTTCCCTGTACAGCCCCTCTGCCAGAACCAGACCCATAGGAGGGCAACCTTGTAGGCTGGCTTTGCCCTTCATACCTCCCCTTGTTCATGACCCTGGGCAGCAAACTGCCTCCCTCTGGACAGCTTCCCTCTACTCACACACACACTGGATCTCCTCACTGCCCTCCCCTCACACACACTGATCGCATGCCTTCTCCTCACACACACTGATCTCACTGCCCTCCCCTCACACACACTGATCGCATGCCTTCTCCTCACACACACTGGATCTCCTCATGCCTTCTCCTCACACACACTGATCTCACTGCCCTCTCCTCACACACACTGATCTCCTCATTGCCTTCTCCTCACACACACTGGATCTCCTCATTGCCTTCTCCTCACACACACTGATCTCATTGCCCTCTCCTCACACACACTGATCTCCTCATTGCCTTTTCCTCACACGCACTGGATCTCCTCACTGCCTTCTCCTCACACACACAGGATCTCCTCACTGCCCTCGCCTCACACACACTGATCTCATGCCTTCTCCTCACACACACTGGATCTCCTCATGCCTTCTCCTCATATGCACTGGATCTCCTCATTGCCCTCTCCTCACATGCACTGGATCTCCTCACTGCCCTTGCCTCACACACACTGATCTCCTCATTGCCTTCTCCTCACACACACTGGATCTCCTCATTGCCTTCTCCTCACACACACTGGATCTCCTCACTGCCCCTGCCTCATACACACTGGATCTCCTCACTGCCCTTGCCTCACACACACTGATCTCCTCATTGCCTTCTCCTCACACACACTGGATCTCCTCATTGCCTTCTCCTCACATGCACTGGATCTCCTCACTGCCCCTGCCTCATACACACTGGATCTCCTCACTGCCTTCTCCTCATATGCACTGGATCTCCTCATTGCCTTATCCTCACACGCACTGGATCTCCTCACTGCCTTCTCCTCACTGGATCTCCTCACTGCCCTTGCCTCACACACACTGGATCTCCTCACTGCCTTCTCCTCATATGCACTGGATCTCCTCATTGCCTTATCCTCACACGCACTGGATCTCCTCACTGCCTTCTCCTCATATGCACTGGATCTCCTCACTGCCTTCTCCTCAAACACACTGGATCTCCTCATTGCCTTCTCCTCACACACACTGGATCTCCTCATTGCCCTCTCCTCACACACACTGATCTCCTCACTGCCTTCTCCTCACATGCACTGGATCTCCTCACTGCCCTTGCCTCACACACACTGATCTCCTCATTGCCTTCTCCTCACACACACTGGATCTCCTCATGCCTCCTCCTCACATACACTGATCTCATTGCCTCCTCCTCACACACACTGATCTCCTCACTGCCTTTTCCTCACATGCACTGGATCTCCTCACTGCCCCTGCCTCACACACACCAGATCTCCTCACTGCCTTCTCCTCACATGCACTGGATCTCCTCATTGCCTTCTCCTCACACACACTGGATCTCCTCACTGCCCTCTCCTCACATCCACTGGATCTCCTCAGTGTCCTCAACTCACATGCACTGGAGCTCCTCACTGCCTTTTCCTCACATGCACTGGATCTCCTCACTGCCCTTGCCTCACATGCACTGGATCTCCTCACTGCCTTCTCCTCACATGCACTGGATCTCCTCACTGCCTTCTCCTCATATGCACTGGATCTCCTCACTGCCCATTCTTCTCACACAGTGGCTCTCAACCCTCCTAATTCCCTCTTGCCACTTTAGCAGACAGCTGCATACGGTTCCATTCTTCCTTCACTTTAAACCACTACTGTCAGGGTTTTACCCAAATTAACTACTCCTGTTTTGCTCAATGTCAAGGTCAAATGTTAAGCCTCATATGGAAGGGTCTATTAGACAGATCTCACCCAGCCAGTGACTCTCCTCCTAAACGACTTCCCTCACTGGCTTAGAAGCTACACTCACCCATGGGAAGCCTCTCTCTGGCTACTTCTAAGTAAAGGGAGACAAGGCAGAGTCCCATCCTCCGGGCCCAGGCCTCACCCTACTGTTCCACTCTCACTCACCCCCTGGCACAGCCATATCCCCTCTAGATGGCACAGAGACCCTGAGTCAGCCCCTAAAACTCCTAAACCACTTACGCTTTTAGCATATTAATGTGGTAAGTGACAGCCAGGCTAGCGGAGGTTTTCTTTTCTTCCTCTAACTGAAGCTCATCCACTAATTCATGTCTCACCTGTTATAAAATGGGACAGAATTATTAATTGATTTAAACAAATAATTAGGTAGAGATCCAGATATTAATTACTATTTTACAATTATTCTTCCTTTAAAATTAATATTTGTAATGAACAAGTATCTCTTCATTAATTACATTTTATATTTAGTTTTCATATAGAACCCAAGTTGATTTCCTATACATGAAAGTTAGTAGATGATGACGTTCCTCATACATATTGTAGGGTTTACAATTACTTTATATTAACAAATTTTCTGCTAGGCTTTTTTTAATTCAGTGCTGTTACAAGTGAAATATTCAGAGATCACAATGAAGGCAAAAGATTTTATTTTGTTTTGTCAGCGTATGCACGATGTATGTATGCTTTGGTATCTCTCAGTGGATGGACTTGGTTGTTTTTATACACGGTTCTCCAAAAATGACATTTAAGAAAATTACTTCTACCTACATTTCTCAAAATGCCAACTTACCATAACAGAAAATATGTGTCGATATTTCTGTGGCACGCTAGCTTTTATAAATGGTGCTGCAGTGACACAAAATTTTGCAGCCTCTTCCCTTTTTCCAGCTTGTAGATAACAGTCCAGAAGCTCCCTGGATAATATAAAAATACTGGATATTAAAACCTGATGAAATCATTTTCTGCTGCAAATATCTAATAACCAGGTTATTATGCATTTTATTATGTTTCACAAACTTCACAAAGATACAGGGATCAGGCAGCTCCTTACCCCATACCTGCAGCGTGTGGCTCAGGAGGGGCTGCAGGCAGGGGCTGAGAGAGCTATGCTACTCCTGGCGGGAGGGAAAGGAAATGTTTGCACCATAACTACCTCGAACATTTATAATAGCATTTTTAAGAAAGACTGTATTTATACTTATTTTCTGTTAAAAGCTCCCCAAATAGCTGTAAAGCAGATAAAGAAAGGCTTTAGATTCTGAATTCCAACTTCAGGGTATATCCTCTGGATCCTCCTTGCAGACATTCACTCAGTTGCTAGCCTGCACATGGTGCTCCCCAGAGATAGGACAAGTCTGGCTGATTGCCTTCCGGTCCACTCAGCACAAGGATCATATGCTGACATCTCTCACTGTGGCTTCTCAGGGCTGTCCCTATGCTGATGCACTAGGTGCACACTTCCCTAAACAGGGCCATTCTGGCTGAGTTTTATGTTGCTAAAATGTCTACCGCATAACAATTTACTGAACTAAGTTAAAACCACGAGCCAGGATTATGACACAAGCTCACACTTCCTGTGTTTTGAGTCTAAACATTCATCTTCCTGTAACACCCATATGATCAGGACACTGTGATTTTATCTATAGACCTCATCAGACAAGACACAAAAAACGTAATTCTAACTACAGAGTAGAAAGCAGTGACATCCACCCTGCAGTGGAAGATAATCATCCCACTGGGAGAAAGCGGGCGGGAAGGAGGTCAGAGGCTGCCAAGCGTGGCTGGTTAGGGACTCGTGGCAGGGCATCCAACTCACAGCATCAGCTCTGCCCGCCACTCCTTGTCCTCTTCTTCAGTCTGACTTAACACATTGACAATCTGGGAGAGGCTGGAGATCAGATGGTGATGATATCCTGGCTTGAGAAATGGCCTCACCATTTGCCAGTAGAGGACCGATGCGTTATACACCAGGAAGTAATACCTGCAGCGCCAGCAGAGGAAGTCTGAGACTAGGTCCTGAGCCCGACTAGAGCCTGCTGGAGCGGCCTCAGGCAGGAGCCTCAAGTCCTCTGTCCCCAGTAGATGGCAGCAGCACCATCTGAGCTGCTCTGAGCCGAGGGCACCCACACAGCCTACGCAGAAGGGGCTGGAGGCTGCAGTTCAACCCCAGCCATGATGACCCAGCCACATGACTCCTGAGTCCAGGCTAGAGATCTCTTCACCCATTCGCTAAAGTGATCAGCTCCCTGTGAAAATACACCAGTAAGTGAGGTCTCCTTTGGTTCCCAAGAGATAGACAAGAACAGGCAAGTGCAGGGGGAATCAAGGAAGGCTTCCTGGAGGATGTAACATCCTGCTGAGACCTGAAATGTGAGGAGCAATCAGTCCTGAGAGCAGTGCAGGGAAAGGGTCCGCCAGGTAAAAAAGAGGGAGAGCAGAATCTTTGGGGAACAAAGTCCCCACGCCTGTGCATGAAGGGCAAAGTGGTGCAGGAGGAGGGATGAGGAGCAGGGACACCCCTCAGAAGGTGGGCTTTTTCCTGAGGGCTGGAAGGAGCCACTGGAGGAATTGGAGTAAGGGCACCACAGGGGCCAATTTGCCTTTCTTGCTCCAGGCCTCTCTGAGAGGCCAGCTCTGCCTTGTAAGACCCAGGGTGCATGGGGAGGAGGCTCTCAACAGCACTGATCGGGAGCCTGAAGGAGTGAACCAGGATTTACACTTGAATCTCCTTTAAATGGTGTATCCTACTTAAATAGGTTGTATTAATACCACTTTATGTGCAACCTTAACAGTTTCAGTAATATTTCTTTTCGACGAAGGAAACATTAAGTAGAAAACTGTGCTAGAGTTTTAGCTGAATCGCTACGGACAGGAGGCCTTGGCCTGGGCAATCTGCCAGAGGGGATAGAGGCGGGGGGGGGGGGGGCAGGGGAGGGAGGGGCTCTGATGCTGAACCCTCAGAGAGGCCCAGAAAGTAAGAGGGCCATGGAGACCAGCCAAAGGAGAAGTTCCCACAGAGAACACAGACAAAAGCCATCTGCATATCACGGAAACCGCAGGACACACAAAATCGTGTGTGTGTGGGACCCAGCTCTACGCGTCAGAGACAAGCATACAGCAAGGACACAGCAAGGACAAGCCCCCAGTCTAAACAGGTGGAACCACTTGGTAAACCCTGGTCCTGTACCTTTTACACAATCCCAGGTAGAAATGGCCGATTCTATTATGCCTACCTGGGTTCTCCTTTTGCAAAGTTTATTGCCTTCATATACTGAGTCACACAATTTTCAAATTCCTCCTAAAACAACATAAAAAATGCACAATTGCATTGAATTTGCCACAGAAACATCAATCATTGCTCGTGGTCACTTCCGTGGACATTAAGCCACACTAAGGACTGGCCTGGGAGCCCATCTGGAAGCAGCAGGAGCTGGGGCGCCCCGTGCGGTCTCAGGCACACCCGGCCAGGCTCAAGGGTAGCTGTCCTGGGCACAACCAGGGCACCAGGATGCAGACGCCAAAGGTCAGACAGGAGCTTCCGGGAAAAGCACAAGCGGGAAACTGACGATAAATCTGCTGGCTGAGCTCTCCATAGAAGAGTACTTTAGGATTTGTCTAGCCTGACACAATTTTGGAAGCAGGGTGAGATTGTAACTCTTTCCACACAAGATGTAAAATTTTGAGGAGAATCAAGGCAGCCTCAGGGAAAACCTCAAGTGGGACAAACCATTAGGTATTCATTTAGGAATGGGGACCTGGAGGGGTCCCACTGAAGGTTAGGGTTGGAAGGCTTCACCCTCAGATGGATGCCTGCTCCCCGGGGCATCTCTCACCAGGTTTTCGGTGGACTTGGGGGCACAGAGCTGGGCCTTGCACAGGTGCGCTCGGCCCAGGAACTGGGTGACTGGCCCCTTCACCTTGAAGTACATCTGGATGCAGTCGTCACTCATCTCCGGGTGCCCCATCTGCAAGACACCACACCGCGGCCATGAACGGCCCCAGAAGGGTGCCTGCGGTTGGGGCGCCAGGCAGCGGCTCTGCCAAGACCTGAGGACGGCACCCCCGCCCCCCAGGTGCTACTGCTGTCTCCAGCTCCACCTCGTGCTCCCAGAAACAGAGACCCTCCTAGGACCCCCGACTCAGTACCTTCAGCGCCTGTTCTGCACACAAAACAAACAGGTCTGGGCTGAAGCTCTCCATGGGGTCAAACTCTGATTTGCCCAGGTTTGCCGACTTAATCAGCGCATAAGCCCTCTTCAGGGACGCGTCATCTACCAGGACGACAGTGGAGAAAGGTCTGGTCTGGAGAAAGCCCGCATGGCATCACTGTGCACCGGGGGCCAGTGTGGGAGGGGGCCGGCGGCCGGGCGTCCAGCCCCGCGGCCGGGCGTCCACTCCCCGCGGCCAGGCCTCCACCCCCGCGGCCGCACCCCCTCCCCAACCTCCACCAGGCCCGAGCCTCGGCAGCAGTGGGGGCAGGGATCCTGAGCAACCGGGGAGGATGACAAGGCGGGGTCGCGGAGGTCCTACGTGGTGGTGGTGGGGGGGAGTGTGGGTTCCGGGACCTCCCCAAGGTGGGAATCCCGAGTCGGGCGGGACCCGGCCGCCCCAGGTCAGGGGTCTGCTGGGTCCGCCTCCCCGGGGGGCAGGGTCCTGGCGGGTTCCGGGGCCCTCTGGCTGGGGGCCGGGTCCCCCGCCCACCCTGCTGGCTCTGGGCGCGGGCCAGCTCCTGCGTGATGACCAGGTCCATGGCGCCGGGACCGAGCGCGGTAGGTTTTCTCCGGTTAGCCGACTGCCGGTGGTTGCCTAGCGACCGAGGGGGACGCCGGCCGATCCTACGGGTCGGCCACTGGGCCACACTAGTCCGGAGGCGAACCGCCGCCGGAAGACCACCCTGTGCGCGTTCTTCCCGCCCTTCCCGGACTAGGACGTGGGGGCGGGGGCGCAGCCCCGGGGCGAGGGGAGTGGAGCGAGGGCAGGGTGCGCTCGCGTCGGGGTCGTGCCCACGCTGGCCCGGGCGACCCCACTCGCATCGGCCCCCGCCCACTCCCCGGGGCGATGCTCCAGCTGAGCGGCCCCGCGCCCCTGCCCCACGTCCCCGCCCCACGTCCCCGCCCCGCAGTCCCCCAGGTCAAGGATGCCCCTGGATCTGGGCCTGGCTTCCGGAACGTATTCCTGCCTGCCTTAACTCACTCACTCGGGCATTCATTCATTCATTGATTCGGTCATCCTACGGACCGAGGATCGTCCGGACAGTTGTTCGCCCCTGCCTGGGCGGGGCCTGAGCGTGCCTGGAAACGCAGGGGCTGCACCGGCTGCCGCGTGCGGAGAGGACATCAGGCAAACAGTGAATGCCTAACTAGGGGTCGGATCCTGAGAGGGTCGCGCAAGCACGGGACGGGTGAGCTGAGATTTGCAAGAGGAGAGGAGGCTCCCCACAAAGGCGGGAAGAACGGCACCTGAGCAGGAGGGAGGGGCGCCCGCGAGGGCGCGTGGGCGGGACTGCCGGAACCGGGCTCCAGGGCGCTGGCCAGGGTGGGATCGCCGTCCTCCCAAGGGTACTGGACGCGGCGCGCCCGGGTCTCGGCGTTTTCTGAGGGTGCCAGGTGAAGACTGGTTTGGAGAGGGTGAAGGTGAAGAGGCCGCAGGCACACACCTAGGGCAGGAAGGGAGAGCGTGTCTGGGTGACAGGTGTGGGACCAAAGACGGCCAAGAGGCCACAATCCTGGGGCTTACACACAAGGGTGGATGGGGCACGCACCGGCATGGGGAGCTCCAGATGAGGGGTGGACAGGTGGTAGCTCAGGAGCAGGTGCTGGGTGTTCTGTCTGGGCATGCGGGATGCTGAGGTATTCAGAGTGCACCTTTGCAGGAAGGCTCCTGGAGGTGCCAGGTCTGCTCACAGCTGCCTAGACATGCTGGTGTGTGGATGAGTGCACCAGGGGTGGAGCGGGGCTGGAGACCACCAGCTTTGGAGACCCCTCGTCCAGGAGCAGCAGGAAGAGCTGCAGGGGGGCGGGGCAGAGAGGTGGAAGGGAAGCCGGGCAGAGCCCCAGGGGGCCAAAGGAAGGGTGTTGGGGGAGGGATCAGCTACGTCAAATCTGGCCAAGATGGCAGTAAGATAAACACTGAGAAACAGCAGCTGGGATTAGCAAGGTGGAGGCTTTGAGTGACCCAAGAACAGCCATTTCTCTGAAGGGGAGTGGGAGGGTGGCAGAGCGCTGGAGGGGGTGGGAGAGTGAGTGGGGGCTGTAGTAGAGACAAAGAGGTTTACAACTTTTTCAAGAAATTTGGCTTCTCGTGGAAAGAGTGGAGGCAGGGACTGTGTCATCTGGGGAGGGATATTTCTAAAGGAATAAGACAAATGAGCCCTTTTAAAGTTGATGGGTTTCTATTGGCAAATGGGATGGCGTATGTAGAGAATCCTGTGGCATCTACAAAAACATGCAACTGCTAAGAAGGGAATTTAGCAAGGAACAGGATACAGCATCAATATGTGAATATGGATTGTATCTGTAAATACCAGCAACAGATGAGAAAGGACAGAAACATACCATTAGAGTAGCATCAGAAACACATCGCTGTGGAATAAATTTAACAAACGATGCGTACTATCCCTGCACTAAATGTACAAAACACGGTTGAGAGAAATGGAGAGAGGGCTGTGGTCGGGGGCCGGAAGATTTGGATTTGTAAGATGTCCTTTCCCTCGGAGGTACACTTCTCGCTCAGAGCAATCCCAGTCACAAGCCCAGCAGACCTTTTTCTGGAAGTCGACAGCTGACCCTACCATATCCACGGAAACACAGAGAACCTAGAGTGGCCAAGAGGACCGTGAGGGGGAAGAGCAGCATTGGAGGACTCACACTCCTTCATTCCAAGACTGACAGGAAGGCTGCGGCAGTACGGAAGATGGTGTAGACCAGTGGAGCAGAACAGAGTTCAGAACCAGATCCCGCGTCCAGAGTCCACTGATCTGGCCAGACGTGCTGATTCAGTGGGGAAAAGGGTGGTCTTTCCCACAATGGTGCCAGAACACCTGGGGGGTGGATGGGCACCAGGACACGCAGCCCCCGCACCACACTGAGCAGCCCTCATCAGAGCCAGGTCATGGGCTTAGAAGGAAATTGAAGTGTGGGTAAGAGTGAAAGAAAATACCACACCATCTTGGAGCTGGAAGTTTCTTAGCTAGGGCACAAGAAAGTGAAACCATCAAGGAAAAAAATAAAGGTGTCTTCATCAAAAGTAAAACCTCTGCTATTTGAAAGACTGTAAAGAGAATGAACAGATTGGAAGAAAATATTCACGATAAATATACCTGACATGGAAATTCTACCCAGGTTATAGTTTTAAAACCCAGTAAATCAATAAGGAAAGACAACACACAAAAAAATTGGACAGAAGACGTGAGTAGACACTGAACAGTAGAAGATCTAAGAGTACCAAGTAAGCACATAAAAAGGCTCTCGGCATCCTGAGTAATCAGGGAAATGCAAATTTAAGTCAAAATGAGATTCTGTTGTAGACCCATTAGAACTGCTGAAATTAAAGAGATTGACCATGATGAATGTCGGTGAGATAGACCAGCGGGGACCCTCACACACGGCCGGTGAGAATGAAAAATGGTACGATCACTGAGAAACAGAAAGTTTTTAATGAAGTTAAACAAGCTGCTACCCTATGACCCCACGATCCTACTTTTAGGGGTTTACCCAAGATAAATGATGTGTCCTCAGAAAGCCGTGCACAAGAATGTCCACAGCAGCTTTGTTCATATTAGCCCCGAAGTGGAAACAATGCACGTATCCAGCAGTAAGTGAAGTATGGTGGGGCCCCACGGTGGGCTGCCTCTCTGCAGGGAGGAGGACCGGGCCGGGGCTCCACGCCAACAACGTGGAGGCGCGTGAACGAGGGAGGGCAGCAGCACCAGGCGTGAAGGAGCCTTCTCTGCGAGCCCACGTCCACCCAGCTCTGGGCCAGGCAGAGGAAGCAAAGACTGGGGAGACCAGGATGCGGCTAAGTGGGAAGGGGCGGCCGGCAGGGTCCTCCTCTCTTCTGGAGCATCGGGCACATGGTCGCACTTCCTTCAAAACTCCCTGCAGCCACCATTTACCATGGAACAGCTGCAGTATACCCACGGGTGGTCATCTGGGACCCAGGGCCAGTGGGACCAAGCTGGGACCCGGCCGTGTGAGGAGGAGCACCGGCCTGGGGCGCCAGGGCAGGGTGGCTGTGAACTGGCTGGCAGCTGGGGGAGCCGGGGTGCCACCGGGTTAGCCCAGGAGGGCAGACAGAAGAGGAAAATGTCGAGCACTGTTCAAGGGTTAGCTCTCCCCTCTGTCCCGCCTCCAAGACTGTGGGGAAGTCCATGCTGCCCCACGTACTGTTCAGCTTTCTTTACGCTCTCTCCTCCCCTTCCCTTCTTCTGTCTCAGGAATAGACTCCGATTTTTGGCAGGCACAAGGCTGCCTCACTTCCCACCTCCCTTGTAACCAGTGTGGTCAAGTAACAAAAAAAGCAATTTTAGGGGAGTATTCTTACAGGGAGAGCAACCCCTTGGTTGGTCTTCCTCTTGCCCGCTGGTGGAAATGTGGCTATGAAGGCTGGACCTTGAACAGCCGTTTTGTGCCATGAGGAGGTAGCCTCCATGCTGTGGATGAAGAAGCCTGGGTCTCCCGTCTGTGGGGCAGCTGCTTGGTCCTGGATGGCCTTATGTGAAAAAGAAATAGACATATCTCTTGTTAAATCTAAGCTGCTTCTTTTTCCCTGGGACACTCACAGCTGACGTCCTCACCAAGTCTTCCACCTTGCCTTTTCAAGAAGATAAGGATGCAGGGCAGACCACAGGGCAGATTTCTGGCAAGTATTGGGTCTACATTTTCTAGGATTTAAAATTCAAAGCATGACGAAATGTGTATACACACGTGTACCTGTGTGCACACGTGATAATGTGTGGTATGTGTATGTGTGTATACGTGTATGTGTGCATGATAAAATAGCTTCTGCCCGGACATGATTCTGAAACCCACACCCCCATTTTGCTCGGGGTCTGGAGTCACGCACTGTCTTGGAGGTAGAAGGCTCCAGTCCCTGTTTCGTCAGCCAGCTGTTAGCTCCCACAGAGCATCCTCAAATGTGTCTTTGTTTATTCAGAGGGACGCTTGGCACCATGCACACAGCATTTATAAAATATTTATTCCCCCCAAGGAAGTATCTCCCAACATTATGTAGTAAGAGATTTTCCAGATCCTAGAGTATTAAATATTAAAACTCATTTTTCTAATTATACAGTAGCCTTAAATTTGAAGAATGGGGCACAAAGTTCTTTTTTTGCTGGATGGTGTTTCATTTAGTAAAGACAATTCAGGTCAGGCCCAACATGTTCTTTTTCTTTTTTTGCTTGAGAATCGAGTGTGGAACTTGTGGGGCTCTGTGCGTTTCCCCGGCCAGGGCTCTTCCTCGTCCATGCTCCGACCCAAGACGCCTCGAAGACAGGCCAAGGCAGCCCAGGCGACACCACGGCGTTGCCCACGTAGGGGCCCACGTAGGGTCACACTGTGCTCACAGGAAGGCATCGGCGTGGGGGGCCCTTCCCCTGACGGTTCCTCGCGCCTCCCTGGCTGGCCTCCATGTGGCACCTGCAGTGGGAAGTCCCTGAGTGTCCCTCAAAGCAGCACTTCGGTCACCCTCTTTCCACACAGGGACCGTGGCCTGTGTCTGCTTCCCAGGCCCACCATCTCCGTCAGCTTAGGCTGC